GTTGGTTATATTTATCCTGCATAATTGATCCCTGATTCACAAACATCCCATTTCAAGAAATAATAATGATAAAAAAAATCATTTTAACCTTGCACTGAGCCAGGATAAACTGAGCTGAGTAAGCTCAAGACAACCGAGCGCATGGGAACACTTCGAGCCCTCATCTTTTAAATATCACCAAATAAAAAGCAGACAGCATGACGGAGGGAAAAAACCCTAAAGATTAAAGGTATGTAGTAGTGCTTAAATGGCCTTTAAACTTTCAGTTTCTAGTGTATCGGCGTTATTCGATTCAGTCATCAGCCTCCTACAGTTGTCAACTGATCAAGGAGGAAGCAGGGCTAGAAAACACGTAAGATGGCGGGCACTAGTTCACAAGATAAATTGATCAAGACACCAAGCGACTGTGAGAAGCGAGAGACGAGAATAACAAAAGAAAACTTATACATGGTATTAGCCCTGTGGATGGAAAAATTTCCTTTGCAGTTCTCGAAAGAGCAGTCATATAAAAGTAACAGCAACTCAAAGAAATTCAAGAAAATTGGAGTGGTGTTTGTTTTGCCAACCGATCGAGTATTGGCTGCCGATTGCAGTCGCGATGGCGTCCATGGAGTCGCTCGTGTCATGGTCAACCATTGTGGCAAACTTGAGGGTTGTAAAGTCTTCGTTTCTCGGAAACCTTGCTCCCTTTGTGCTAAGCTTCTTGTACAGTCCAGAGTATCTCGTGTGTTTTACCTGCCGATAGAACCGGAATCAGAAGACGAAGGAGAGCTGGCGAGGGCAGATAATCTCTTCAAAGTCAGCCCGGTAGGTCAGTCGGTTTTCGTTCCTTGCGTTGAAGAAAGGGTTTTGACGAAAGACGAGAAGAGGCTCCCAGTAGCAATTACACCACATGATGTTCGCATTTGCCAAGACGAGCTTTTCGGAGAATGGTGGAACACCGAATGGATCGAACGTGCTCAAAAATGTCTTCCCTGGCCATGCCTGGATATCAGGATGAAATCTCAAGTCCAAAGTGATTTTAAATCCCTGATGAAATGGATCGCCGTTGCCAAGGCGCCAATGGACAAGAATATTGTATTCAGGCGGGTGAACATTACAGAGGATTTTGATGCGATAAGCGATGATTGCGATGCCAACGACTACCCCGACTTCAAGATGGCTTACCACATGATGATTTTTGCCAAGATGCTCGCTCGCCAGACTGATGATCCTAAGACTGGTGTTGGAGCTGTCATCTTGAAGGGTAAAGATCCGGTGGAGATTGCAACTCTTGGCTGGAATGGCTTTCCATCCAAGGCGTTGTATGGTGAATTTCCACGAGCCTCTGACGCTGATGCCGCGCTGGAGACAAAGTTCCCTTATGTCATCCACGCCGAACAAAACGCTCTCCTGGTGCGGAACACCAAGGATTTGACAGATGGTGTCTTGTTTGTCACAAAACCTCCCTGCGATGAATGCGCACCTTTGATCAAGCTCAGTAGCATAAAGACTGTTGTGCTCGGAGAGACGATAAAGAGAAGTCCAAGAGGGGAACTGTCTTACGACTTGATCAGAGAATACATCCGAGAAGGGATTGTAACCTGCTACCAAATGGAGATCCAGAAGACGCAGGCAAAGCGTTCTGCGTCTGACCCGGAAATAAGGAAGAAAATGAAGTCGAGTTAAGTATTATGGTGTGAAGTTCGCAATCGGATGAACATCTGCGCCTAGCATTCATCTACAAGAGATCTTGAAACGATAAATCGTCATTGTAAATACTTTTTAACGTCACCCTTGAATATTTTATTTTTAGACGGAAGGCCACAAGTTTGCTAGCGTTTTCTCATGGTTTAGTTTTGCTCTCTCTAAATAATTTTTACTTACTCGAGTATTAAATTTTTGCGTTTAAAATGATAATCATTATTTACCTTGACTTGTAGCTAGACGTAGACACTGACCAGCTGGTAATTCGGTCGGGGTGATGCCTTTCGTATTTTGCAAGTAAAGACACTAGATACAATCAATCTTTATAAAGAATGTACAGTATATGCATGCTTCTTAGAACTTTTCTCTGGGGTAAATCGAGCCAGAGTTTTGTACAGAAAAGACACCATTTAAAGCGTTTAAAGTGGTACTATGACGAAAATCGCATCTTTCCTATCTAAGCCATTTTAAAACATAAACAAGTCGTCTGTATGAGAAGAAAAATGCTGTTTACTATTTTCAAATATCTCTTTTCGTTCCAGAGATATTTAAGTTTTTAAAATATGCAGATTAGCTT